GAATGGTATTTGAAATCAGCTAAAAACGGTAATTCCAGCGGACATTTAAATATTGGATTTTGCTATGAAAATGGCATAGGCGTTTCTAAAGATGAGAAGATAGGATTTGAGCGGTATTTAAAATCAGCACAAGATGGAAATGCTACTGCATCAGCAAATGTTGGAAATTGTTATCAATCTGGGAGGGGAGTATCTAAAGATGAGAAGAAGGCATTTGAATGGTATTTAAAATCTGCAAAAACCGGAAATTCCAGTGCACAATATAGTGTTGGAAATTGTTATCAATTTGGGGAAGGTGTACCTAGGGATGAAAGTAAGGCATTCGAATGGTATTTGAAAGCAGCTGAGGGAGGAGTTGCGAAAGCACAATTCAATGTTGGAAATCATTATCAAACTAAGTTTAAAGATGAAAAGCAGGCGTTTGAATGGTATTTAAAATCAGCCGAAGGTGGACATTCTGATGGACAATTAAATGTAGGAATTTGTTATCGAAACGGTTATGGAACATCTCAAAACCAGGAAAAAGCTAACGAATGGTTAAAAAAATCAAGGAGTAATAGAGAAGAACAAGTTCTCAAAAGTGGAAATTCTAATATTGATGATTTTCTAGAAACAGTTTTAGATGAAAATAAATATTCATTATTATGGATTCCTTTTAATGAACTTGAAATAGTAAAAAATATTGGAGAGGGTGGATTTGCAACCGTATATTATGCTATATGGCGTTCTGGTGGTTTAATAAGACCTGTAGCACTTAAATTACTCAGAGGATCACGAAGTAATTCTGAAGAATTGTTAAGAGAGGTAAATATTTGATAAACATAATAATCATTATATGTTTATTTTATTATTAACATTTATTGTATTGCAGCTTAAAATATATTATGATATTGGATGTAAAAATCCAACATTTTTACGATGTTACGGAATATCAAAAGACAAAGAAGCTTCCAACGACTATATATTAGTTATGAATATGCATATAAAGGTTCTTTGAGTCAAAACATTCAATTTATTGCAAAAATGAAATGGAAAGAAAAATTAGATTTGTTATCAAATATTGCTCAAGATCTTTCAATAATTCATTCTCATAATATAATTCATCGAGATTTGCATAGTGGAAATATATTACAAAATGATTTTTATAGCGCATATATTGGAGATTTAGGACTCGCAGAAACAATTAACCAAGCATTAATGAAATCAGGTGGAATTTATGGAATTATTCCATATATAGCACCAGAACTTTTAAATAAAAAACTGTATTCATTAGCGGTTGATATCTATTCATTTGGCATAATAATGTGGGAGATATCTACTGGAATATTAGCATTTTCGGATAAAATGCACGGACCAAATCTTATTGCAGAAATTCTTGAAGGAGCAAGGCCGGTTATTGTTAAAGGAACAACACAATGCTATATCGATCTTATGAAAAGGTGTTGGAATGATAATCCTGATGAACGTCCATCAGCCTCAGAAATATATGACATTATTCAAACCTGGAGAAATAGTGAAGAAGTTTTATTAAAATTTAAAGAATCCGATGAAATAATGAGAGATATAGTTAACACAATTTCTCATAAGTCAGCAATTATACACCCTAGTGCTGTTTATAAGAGCCAAAATATCAATTATGATGCTAAAATTATAGAAAGTTCGGAATTTTTAGGATTACAAGCGGAATGGTCTCCAAGTAACGCTGAATTATAAATGGAATCGATTGAGATAATTAGAATAACAGATTATTATTATTATAATTATTATTATTGACGAAGTCTGTTGCACAACTTCTAAAATAAAAGATTGATTTTATTCTAAAGTAAATTTAAAGAAAACACTTGATGACATATTGCTAAACTTTATATCTTTTTACAATTATTTCGGTCATCCGTGCAATAGTTATACACCGAGTACGTAGCATGAGTAGTGTATAACTGATCGGTTGATATTTGGTATAGATGGAAAATATAAAAATATTATAATATTATAATATATAAAAATAATTATTTTTTTTTTTCATAGAAAACGTAGGTCGTATTGTCGTGCTTGAAGTTGACAAATTGGGCATGAATGTTAAACTGCTTGAAATTGACAACTTCAAGCACCTGAAGTTGGCAACTTCAAGCAGAAAATCAATTTTTATTGACGTAATCAATTTAATTGATCTACCAAAACTTGCCATTTCCGATAGTAAATAATAATTTAAACCTAATTTGGTACAAATAAGATTTTCTGGGTTCATTTGAACCAGCTATAGATTTTGAACCCAACCCAGATCCATTTTAAACCCAACTGAGCCCATTTTGATCCTAATCTGGGTTTATTTTAAACCCAACCCAGTTATTTTGAACCCAACACAGATCTATTTTGAACCCAACACAGGTTTATTTTGAACCAAGCTAAGCCTATTTTGAAACCAATTTGGATCTATTTTCAACCCAATTTATTTTAAACCCAATATTAGTCTATTTTAAACCAAACCTGGGTTTATTTTTAATCCAACCAGTCTATTTTGAACCAAATATGAGCTTATTTTGAGCACAACCTAACTTATTTTAATTCAAATTCAGATCTATTTTAATAATAATATCTTGGGTCATTGGATATTTGTAGATTGATCCACAAATACCCAACAACTCAAGATATTATTAATTAATACCTGACCTCTCACAAGAGAAGATACATTATTAGTTCGTATGTAATTAATTCCTTGATATAAAATGATATCAAATTAATGAATAATCAAATACTGTATCTTTTCTTCTTTTAAATATACTGATCTTTAAAGTAAAATAAAAATAAAAATAAAATGGTATTTTAGTAAAGCTTCTGATTTTCATTTTACTTATGGTAATCCATCCAAAATTTAAAAAAAAAATTGAAAAACCAAATATACCCAAAAGATGTATGAGCTAAATGTTATTAAACTCTATATATCAAAATGATTTTCTAATGTAGATGAAGAATTTTTCTTCATCTACTTATTGATTATTTTGGTATATATACTATATTTTTTTTCTTATATTTAGTTATACTTTTTAAATAATATTTGGTGTTTAAATTGTCATTTAGATCATGACCAGTTATCCTAGTTTATAAAGAAAATTTGCTCCATTACAGGTATCAATTGCATTGGTAGAAAAATTGTTAACTATTCTCTTATATGGCTTAAAAACTAAATGATACTGGTGTGAATATCTATGAATTTATAAAGTATCATATAGTAAAGGCATATAATATGTAGCATATACAAAATAAACAACAGCAAATCAACATTGCAAAACTTGTAGTACTATCTGATACACAAATATTACAACATATTATATTTTATATTTATTTTATATTTATTACATGTTAGTAATTTAAAAATATTTTAAATTAAAAAGAACTCTTTCCATTTATCACTTGTACACAAATTTTCTCCAATCTAATTTATTAAAAAAGCTCATAACTTTTCTTTTTACTAAGTTAATCTTAGTCCTGCTTCTAAATAAACTTGTTCTCTTCACTAAAATACATATAATATCTAAATATTAAAATTATATCTTTCAAACTTATCAAAAAATGGCCTGTTGGCCTTTTTTCAAAATTCATAAATAACTTCAAAACTGCTATCTAAACCTGCTTCCCAAGCTTAAGCAAACTTTAAGAGCTCACTATTCTCTTCATAATAAGCTATAACACAAGCTTGTAGACCCAAAATTGATGAAGTTATACTCATATAACTTCAAACTTCCTTTACTTTTACTTTTTTTTTTCTTTTGTCTTTTGCCTCCTAAAAAACACTTAGATACGTTTTCTGGTAACTTTCTACTGCATAATCCACATTGCCCAGGCCTTGAATTCTAGTAGTTTACCTTCAATTACACTAACTCTATTTAACTTTATTCTAATTTAGTGCAAAATTAAACCTTTACCAAATTTGGCCTTATTAAATTTAAACAGAGTAACCTTTAGCACTAACCAAATAAACGTAACACATATACTTGTCATACGCAAAGATCAGACCTATGATTACCCAGCACCTTGTGATTATTTGTTACACTCTATACTTATTTGTCAAACTCCTATGTTTATTTGTCATACTCAATATTTATTTGTTACACTCCTGTGCTTATTTATCACATCTTATATTTATTTATTGTACTCTATAATCTACTTACTATTTAGTACATTACTATAAATATACTTTTAACAGATTCTAGTTATTTTATAACCCTTTTTTGAATTTTTCTTACTTATACTTTACTATGCCTACTCTTATAGTTCAAGTACCTGATACTGTAGATCTTAACTACTTTTATCAAAAATACTCCAAAAACTATAGTGTAGCAATCTAGAAGGATAAACCTGATGTTGTTATTCCTATTCCTAAAAGCTTTCAGCCAACAGCATGCTTTAACAAATATTTCTATAACAAACAAAAAGTTGCACACTTTTTCTCTGCTCCACTCTCTACTGCCCAGATTACTTGCTTCTGCAAGAAATACTATACTAAATTTATTGCCCAAAATAACTGAATTTATGATTTCAATTATAATATTAACCCAACTACTACAAACCACCAAACCAAAAAACTTGCTCAACAATTGCAGAATATAATACAAACTATTTCACAATCCCCTACTGTCCAAACAAATAATACCAACAATAATAACAATAATGCTCCTTCTATACCTTCTCCTGCTCTTCATACTCATACATGCCCTAAGTGCTAGGTTATAATCACTTGCAAATCTGCTAATGATCAACATCTTCCACAAGATGATATCATTCAGCAAGAAGGAAGTTTCTATTATGCTAGCTGTTTAGCTAGCTCCTCAACCTCTACTGTATTTATACCATCCAACCAAGTTCTTTAACAACATATTGACCAATTTAACAAATTCCCTACAACTTCTACTGTCTCTCCTGTAGTCACTAACCAACAGTCTAATATAACATCTTGATGACAACAACAACAACAACAACAATCTAAAAATCCTATTACTTTATCCTTAATCAATAGCCCAATTCCAAAAACTAAGCCACAACCCAATATTATTTTGCAATCACAACTACAATTAAATTTTTATACTACATCTTCCCCAACCCAAACTCCAAAAACCAAACAAACCAACCCTCTCAACAATTTCTTTCCACTAACCTCATTACCAGAGCCTTCCCCAAACAACTCTAATATAAAAATTGTCCTTCTTTTATCTTTTCCCAGCAACTCTGACACTACTTCCTAAACACAACTCAGCAATTTTAATAATAATTAACACCAAGATAATAATTTAAAAGAGCAACAAATTGGTGCTCTTTTTCCAAAAACTAACCAAAATAATAAAAATAACAGCAACCAACCTCTAACTACTAACCAAGACCATGACCAAAACCAATTTAATACCCCTCTACTTTCTGATAAACCCAAAGTTAATCTATTATATGACTGGCTTCAAAACTTCCC